GATGTCAGGATGGGGCCTGGTCAGTTGGTCTCTGGAGCGCAATGGTCTAGTCCCAGCTCTGGTGCCAACCTGAGTGACCCCATGATGCACAGAGTTCCATCCCTTAAGCAGTGGAGGCAGGAAAGAAGGCCCAGGTCAGATGTTGAATGGAGGATGGTGGGCCTTGGACAGATGTTGAAAGGAGGATGGTGGGCCCTGGACAAATGTTGAATGGAGGACGGAGGGCCCTGGACAGATGTTGAATGGAGGACGGAGGGCCCTGGACAGATGTTGAATGGAGGACGGAGGGCCCTGGACAGATGTTGAATGGAGGACAGAGGGCCCTGGACAGATGTTGAATGGAGGATGGTGGGCTCTGTACAGATGTTGAATGGAGGATGGAGGGCCCTGGACAGATGTTGAATGGAGGATGGTGGGCTCTGGACAGATGTTGAATGGAGGATGGCAGGCTCTGGACAGATGTTGAATGGAGGATGGTGGGCTCTGGACAGATGTTGAATGGAGGATGGAGGGCCCTGGACAGATGTTGAATGGAGGACGGAGGGCCCTGGACAGATGTTGAATGGAGGATGGCAGGCTCTGGACAGATGTTGAATGGAGGATGGCGGGCTCTGGACAGATGTTGAATGGAGGATGGTGGGCCCTGGACAGATGTTGAATGGAGAGGAGGGGCTGGAGGGGCAGGGAGACCAGAGGTGCGAATGGGGGTGAGAAGCTGCAGGCCTGGAGCTGCTTTGGGGCCGAGGCTGGAGCCTGCGGAGTCACCTGGGACACACGCAGCCGCTTTTGGGGTCTCAACAGCAAACCCATCTGTCTCCCCGCAGAGAACTCGATTTCTACTTCCCCAAGTTCTCCATCTCCAGCACCGCCAGACTGGAGCTGCTCCTCCCAGGAGCAGCTGTGGGCGGAGGCCTCCCGGAGCAGCCCGGACTGAACATCTCGAAGGTAACCTGGGATCCGGGTCAGCGGTGGGGTGTCCGTGCCTGCGGGCCGCTGCGGGAGGAAGGCGCCCGCATCTCCTCACACGTGGAGCGGCTGTTTGCCACAACTCGGCACATGGCCATCTGTGCTCCGCATGTGTCCCCCACTCGTGCACACCTGCCCCCACAGGCACCGGGGGCCAGAGGTCAGGCCCCATCCCTGCCCTCGGGTGACAGCCCAGGACCGGGAAGGCCGGGTGGGTCCACACCATCAGGGCTGGACTGCGGAGGAGGCTCTGGGGCTCCTTCCTGATCGTGGGCCCGTGGGACTGAGAGCCCGGCCGGCGTGGCTCAGGGGCTGGGCGTCGACCCATGAGCCAGGAGGACCTGAGGGCACAGGCCCAGGTTGCGGGCTCATCCCCAGTTGGGGTGTGCAGGAGGCAGCCAACCAGCGATTCTCTCTCATCATTGATGGTTCTATCTCTCTCCGTCTCCCTTCCTCTCTGATATCAATAAAAACATATTTAAAAAAATAAAAATAAAGGTCTGGTTGATCCCTCCTATGGGGTCAGCTGGCGATTCCGGAATTTTCCTTGCAGGTCGCACACAAGGCCGCGATGACTCTGGATGAGGCGGGCACAGAGGTGGCCGCCGCCACCAGCATCCAGCTCACGCTGGGGCCCCGCCCCGACCTCAACCTCGACACCTCGCCCGCCCCAGACACGGAGTTCAACCGGCCCTTCCTGGTGATGACCTTCCACACGGACACGGGGAGCATGCTTCTCCTGGGGAGGGTTGTCAACCCGCTGGGGTGATGCGCTGGGTGACCCCAGCAGATTGGGGCCGAGTCAGCATTGGTGTGAAAGGCCACGGCCAGCGTGGCCTTCGGGTTAAAGGCTTGGAGAAGAGCTGACGCACGAATTAACACACAAGACAAGCAATAATAATTTTGAAATTATGGGGGGAAGCCAGGGAGAACTCAACTGTAGTAGTCAAGTTCCACTGACTAGAAAACACAATTGCCTTTTAGGAATGCAAACAGACATATCCATGTGATTGTTTAGTAAACAGTAAGATTATCAGGTTGGGGGAGTTTGTAATAAAATGCAAATATTCACCCTGTGAATATCAAGAGTCCAGGTCAGCTTTCTGATGGACTTCTCATCGCATTTATATTAATTACTGTTGATCTTGGTTTCCAGCACATCAGGTCTCGAGGCCCTGACACCTCACGTCACATCACAGGGCCGGGGGGGGTGGGGGGGGCGGTCCCTTCTTCATCTGGAAGTGCAATGGGACTGTCTCAACGCAGCCGCAAAATCACCCCCGGCCCACACGCCGGGAGCTCCTGTTGCAGAACCCTGGTTCTGAGACGACGACACCGGGTTCTGTGTGTGGTTCCGTGGGGCCCGTGGGGTGAGGGGAGGGCGGGGAGCAGGCTGTGCCCTGAGTGAACACCTGCTCTGTGCCAAGGGCACCGTGTATTTGAACTCATTTTAAAATTAATTCCCACATCAACCTAACAAGACAGGTATTTGGCCTTCAGATGGTTTCACCGAATACTGTGTCTCCCTTCATGCGGCTGAGGCTCGGGATTCAAGACACAGGCCCAAGGTCACTCGGCCAGCAGGTAGCGCGGCTGGGATTCAGGTTGTTTAATTTCAAAGCCCGGACTCCTTCCATTTCCATCCATGTGGCTACATCGGCGATTCTCCAACGTGCTGTGTGCACGAATCCCCTGGCAGCCTGTGAAAAACAACCCCGTCGATTTGGACTCAGCAGGTCTGGGCTGGGCCTGCGGTCCGGCCTTCCTCACGAGGCCCCGGATGCCGAGCTGGCCAGGTGACCACCTGGAGCAGGTGCTAAATGCTCTGCCCCGTGACCCAGGGAGGGGCGAGGCTGGTGCGGTCAGCAGGCGGGGGTGGCCCCGGCCCCAGTGCCCCCGCGGGGCTGAGCAGGCTTGGCAATACCTCTCGAAGCCGCTGACGAAGCTGGCTTTAGGGTCGCCTATTCATGAGCATTTTGGGGGAAATAAGTGTCCTGAACACAGGTGTTTGGGCCCATTCTCGGCTCTGCTCCATGTCAGTCATGGCGACCGGGACCTAGGCTGTCGCCTGGCTCCTGGCCCTACATCTCCAGCTGCACAGGAGGGAGTCACACAGGCTTTGGGGCCAGACCCGCCCGGGACCAAATCCCACCCGGATTCCCTCTCGATGCCCACGGGGAGCAGCAGGCAGACATGGGAGCCTGGCCGGGGCCAGCCCAGGGGCTGCCACGCGTGATCTCATGTAACCTTCACTTCACATTTGCTGCCAGAGATAAAACGTACGGATCTCTCCTCATGCGAGAAGGTGCCCAACAGAGCACCAGGGTGGCAGTAAGGTTGGCCTCTCCAGAAGGGGAGCCCCAGAGTCACAGAGAGTGACCCCTAAAAAGAGAGGTGAGCAGCCCCAAAGTCCTGGGAAATGGGCGTCTTAACGTTATCTCTTGAGGATTGACAGTAGGGAGTCCCCAACTCAAATGCCTAAGGGGCCAGGTGGGCAGTAGGCGGAGATTAGGGGTGGAATAACAGCACAAGTTCAGTAGCAGGAACCCACTGGCCGTGGAGTTGGGGAGACAAAGAGAGGAGTGGGGACTGTGGTGAACTGGAGAGGGGGCTCCATCTATGGGGCGCCCGGCGGTGGCCTGCCCGTGGCAGTGGCTTAGATGACATAGACATGCAAATTGTGACCTCCTGTGAGTATGAGTGGGCATGTGGCTCGGTTCACCCAGGCATCGGGGAGCCAGGCTCTCCTGCACGGTGGGACTGCCATCCGAGGGCGTGTCTTCTTCTGGATGTTTGAGGACCATGGGCCAGCGTCTCCACCTTCCAGACAACAGGAAGGGGCACGGGGAAAGGGAGAGCAAACACTTTAGAGGTACAACCCGCGGATCACACACATCTCTTCAGCTCATCTCCTATTGGCCAGAATCTAGTCACATGGTGCACCTAGGCCCTAGCTGCAAGAGAGGCAGAGCAATGTTGTTTCTGTCTTGGGTGACCATGTGCCCAGCCCCAAATCGGGGGTTCTCCTAGTTTAGAAGAAGGGATGGTTGACTAGTGGGGACCCTACCCCCACAGCCTGAGCTCCTGCTAGCCTCAGGTGGATGTTACCTTGCAGAAAAGTGCAAAGGTTGCTGGCTTTGTGCATTTTGAGAGAAACTAAGGTGTCATGTTTTTATGTAAAAAGTGTTTGCATCTTTTAATGTTGACAACACGTGCAGATTTAAAAAGTACAACCAAGCAGCCGACAACATTGGATAAACGGAGCATGTAGAGGGCCTGGGAGGCAGCTGGACAGAGTAGAGGGCGGGCTGCAGGGTCTCTGGGACGGGCCCCAAGGCAAGGGGCTGGGTGCCTTGGTTCAACCCAGGAGCCCTGGGGTGTGACTGGCACTGAAATCCCAGGCACACGTGAGACTGTCCCGGAGAGAGAAGGTGGCAGCTACGAAGCAGCTCTCCGCACGGGAGGGACCACCGCTTCCGAAATGTTTGACCACAATTTACTGAAACTGCAAGACTCATCCTTTAGGCCATTTCTGCCAACGGATGGGAATGACGATGACAATGCCAGTGACTTTGCTGCGATGAAGACAAGAACCATAAACGTTATGGCAAACATACACGGACTTGTGACTTACCCTCGTCTTTATCTTCTCTCTCACGCCAGCGTGGTTGGCCCGGACTCCACACTGACAGGACACTCGCCGCCTTTGGCATTCTGCTGGTTACTCTGCACTGACACAACACTGTCCGCCTTTGGCATTCTGCTGGTTACTCCGCACTGACAGGACACTGGCAGCCTTTGGCATTCTGCTGGTTACTCTGCACTGACACAACACTGTCCGCCTTTGGCATTCTGCTGGTTACTCCGCACTGACAGGACACTGGCCGCCTTTGGCATTCTGCTGGTTACTCCGCACTGACAGGACACTGTCCGCCTTTGGCATTCTGCTGGTTACTCCGCACTGACAGGACACTCGCTGCCTTTGGCATTCTGCTGGTTACTCCGCACTGACAGGACACTCGCCGCCTTTGGCATTCTGCTGGTTACTCCGCACTGACAGGACACTGTCCGCCTTTGGCATTCTGCTGGTTACTCCGCACTGACAGGACACTCGCCGCCTTTGGCATTCTGCTGGTTACTCCGCACTGACCGGACACTCGCCGCCTTTGGCATTCTGCTGGTTACTCCGCACTGACAGGACACTCGCCGCCTTTGGCATTCTGCTGGTTACTCCGCACTGACAGGACACTGGCCGCCTTTGGCATTCTGCTGGTTACTCCGCACTGACACGACACTCGCCGCCTTTGGCATTCTGCTGGTTACTCCGCACTGACACGACACTCGCCGCCTTTGGCATTCTGCTGGTTACTCCGCACTGACACGACACTCGCCGCCTTTGGCATTCTGCTGGTTACTCCGCACTGACCGGACACTGGCCGCCTTTGGCATTCTGCTGGTTACTCCGCACTGACAGGACACTCGCCGCCTTTGGCATTCTGCTGGTCTCCAGGAGCAGGAAATGGCAGCGGTGACAGGACCTTCGGGTCTAGAGTTCTGAATTGTTTTCTAGGGATGAACTCCGTCCGGCAGCTGGTTTTATAGTTTAACTGACAGCGTGTCCGTCTCTGGACGCAGATGGAAAGCGGTCTCCGCTGGTGCTTTGCTCCTGGTGGGCCCAGCGAGGAGGCCATGGCACCTCCCATCTGTCCTTCTGGAGGCCCCATTTCCGGCCGTTCCCACCCTTCCCTGAGTGGCCCTTCTCAGGGCCCGGGCACCCCCGGCCTCTGGAGGGAGTGATGCGCTGGTGTCCTGCTCAATGCCCCCCCCTTCTGGGTGTAAGGGGCTCCTACTGCTTGTCCCTCTGAGCTGCCACCACCTGCCTCCATCCTCAGATGACCCTCAGGCGTCCACATTCCCAACGCCGCGGGGGCCCTCTGGCCGCCTGGTCTGGTGACATGGCTCTCGATCCTGAGACCCAAAGTCCTGAGACAATGAAGCTCGAAGACTTGCCAGCCCCTGGCGAGCAGGCCGGGCAGCGGCGCGGGTCCCGCTGGGTCCGATGGTCCTGCCCACACGGGCCCACAGCCCCTCCCTGGCGGAGCTCACGGAGCTGTGGGCTCAGCGAGGCGATGCGGCCATCGCGGCTGTGAGGGGGATAAGGACAGATTTAGCCGGAGGAGGAAGGGGAAGGCGGGTGGCCCTGCGGGAAGACCCCGGGGGCCGGGGGCCTCGGTGGCAGCTCGGGGCAGCCTCCAGCTGTGCGACCCTGAGCAGATGTGGCTGTAAAGTGGGGCCTATGACGACGCTGAGCCCCCAAGGCGCTGTTTCCGAAGCTGACATCTCCGTTCAGTCCTCTCTGCTGCCCTGCGAGCGAGGGCTCCTGGGATGTGACAGGGACGGAGGCTCAGGATCGCCCCCCGAGTCCCCCAATGGAAGCCACGTCTGCCCCGAAGCCCTCAGTGTGTGTCCCCCACATCCACGGAGCCCTGCGCCCACCCTCCTGGCATTAGTGTCTGTCTCTCTGACAGCAGAAGGAACCGCATCTAAGTCGTCTTTCAGGGCCCGAAGCAGCGCCCTGGCCAGGCTGGGCGGTCAGGGTGCTGGGTGCCCGGGCCGGGCTGGCGGTCGGGGTGCTGGGTGCCCGGGGCCCTAGCAGACCTGGGCTGCTGTCCCCACAGGAGAGCAGAGGACAGAGAGATGGAGGTCGAGGAGAGAGGTGTTAGCACAAACCCAGCCTCATTCCCTCTCTCTCCCTCTCTCTCTCTCTCT